CCTTTTGATGCATGACCCAGCTCACAAACCTTTTGCCAAATTTCATACCATTTGCATTAAAACAGCCAAAATGGTCAAAGAAATTAACTGCAAAAGACCAAAAATGTCCTAATGCAGCATAAGGGTTAAAGTAATTCAGTTTTACTTTTAAAACATGTAAAATACTAATTGCCCTCTGAATGGCAATGATTTCTTTTAACATCTCTCTGTCTATGATCTTCAACTGAAACAGTGCTTAGCTACAAACAGTTTATTATCACTTATGACACAGGCTCAGATCACAACTTTAGCTGACACTGGACGAGAGAGACTGAGGAATTCAGGACTGGTACTGCACACTCATAAACTTCTAACATCAAACTTTATCTCTATTCCAGCTTAAGGCATCTTTGCCAGAAATTACATACGGTTTCAAATAAACATGTTATTTAAATGTGTCTTTTGCCCACATCAGGGAATTTGGCATTACTAATTTTCCTCTCAGATTGAGTCTGTTGCACTGGCAGCTTTCAGCACAGTACACATCAGATTCAGATAAGCAAACTGTTTCAAACTTATCTTTTGAAAGAAAAACATCAGCTTCTAGTTCTTTCATAGTCAACTCTTCAAGCTCTTTGTTTAATCAGCATTTAGCTGCTTCTGCTTATTTGATCGTAAACACAAAATAATTTATCTAGTCCTCAATAACCTTTCATATTTCTCTCAATTTTAATTGTCAAGTTCTGACAAGGTTAGCACTCTCTGCTTGTGATGCGCTGCAGTTATTGTAAATCATCTGTGAGATTAGTCTCTCTATATCATCTAAAACCTTTTTAAAATGTTTCTTCAACACAATCATCCTTTTAGTTACCTTTATATATGTCTTTGCAACTCACATTTGTTGAGTCATTAATTTTACAGCAAACTGTTTTCTTCAATTCACTTTTCTAATATAGATCTTTCTTCAAAAGGATTCACTTTAAGGCTTCAATCTTGACCTTGTTTTATTTCTTATTTCTCAGACGAAAAATGTTAATGTTGTCATTTAAACTGATTTACTTTCAAACCCACATTATTACCAAAAATGAGTCTCTATCACATTTTCAAAAACACCTTATCGTGGACATTTACCGTTACGCGTTAAGTGTTCCTGCTGACACAATTAAAACACTCTCTGTCAGCTCCAACTTACTGCACACACTTGAAGCAGTGGTGTCCATTCAGGAATGCACACAGAGCCACTGATAAGCAGTTCCTCTGTATTCCTTACAGTCCACCAGTGGTGGACATAATCACAATAGCCCAATCATAATCTTCTTATTGACAGAACATTAATTTTCATAGCCGCATCGAAATGCTCAAAATATTCTAAGTTGTTTTCACGAAGTTTCTTGACTACTTTGGTCACATTGTCCTGGGAAATTATCCCTGACCCAAAATTATAATTTTATAAAACAATATCTTATTTCAATGTCAATCAACCTTACTGATTTCCACAATCTATGGACATAGCTGTCTTTTACTAATTTGGTATTACCATCAACAACACTAATTACAGAAAAGTACATATCTAACATCCGGAAGCCGGGCTGAATAAGCAAACACTGTCACTGTACTCCCAGCATAGCTGGACCCTCAGTCACTCCTCAGATATTAAATAGAACATAGTCTATATCATAAATACCAAGATATACGCATTCGTTTTTTACAAAATTATAGTTTCAATTCGTTTATAATAAATGAAGATGGATAGTAAGTCCATTCTTTTCACTACCCCAATGACCAATGGTTGTCAAACCAAAATTAAACATAATTTCAATCATTATTTTACCACTAAAATATAAAATTGTTCCCCATTCTGCTTAATGAAACATTTCTTATCTTTATATAACTGTTAATCATACTCAATGCCTCAATACTAGTTTTATCTGAAACTTATTTTTTCATACAAGTTCAATTTAATCTGACTTATCAAATAGTTCCATGAATTCTCTCGGAATTTTTTCTTTTCTCTCTATCAGCTTCCTCAAGCCAAACGTCCACTGTCTGTTCACATTTTCCACATCCATGCCTAGCGCAGCCTCGCTGCTTTGTTCCACTGACTCCCGCACCACTCCCAGTCTAGTAGTGCTCAGTGTTCCCTCTCTAGGGAAGTCATGATATTTGATCAGGTTTTCAATCTAACATATATTTTCCCCCCATATATCTTTTTCATTTGCCAGAAAACTGGCGTATCATAATTTGCATGCTTACTCTGGGCTTTCCCATACTGATTGTTCCGCCCGGCCGAGTTTTTCTCTTTTCGACCCGTCTATAGTCTGTCGGACGTCTCCAACAGACCTGGTCACTTCACCCAAGACCAGAAAGGTTGCACCCAGTGTTAAATTGTAAGTCGCAGTTCAAACCCAGACAGACCCCTCTTGGATCTTCCGCTTTAAAGTTATAAACTCTCACACCCCAGCCGGGATCAGACGCATTCAGTATGGTTCAGCCACTCTTTGTCAACCCAAACAAAATACTTTTCCCCAAAATAAAATATTTTAGCCGTCTCTTACCAGAGATATGTTGGTTGCCACGGGTTTCGTTTTCTGTTAATTCCAGTTGGAGCTGGCATAAAAATGTGTTTATGCAAGCCACGTGTATAAAACGATCGTCTTATTGGTCAGAGTTCACCAAAGAGTATAGAAGAACAAAAGCAAAACTCTGATGCTTTTTTGGTAAAAGCCACTAGGTGGCGTTTCAGGAGCGCGGCCGCCATTTTGGGGTGAAAATTCCAACTGGAGTTACTGGACAACAGCATAGATAACAGTTTTTTGAGGTAGTTTTTTTCTTCTAATTTTTCCCAAGGGCAAAATTCTAATCTGAAAAAATGAAGCCTACCGGAAGTGGGAAAAACTGCAATACATCGAAAATCCGCTAGAGGTCGGTCCCAAAAGGGGGTGAATATCCATAGACCTCACATTAAAATGTCCGTTTTCACAGCATCAATTCATATGTTTACAGTTTGACTTGATTTTTCGATAGGTTCCGAGTGCCTGACAACTGTGAGGTGAGTGATTTTTTTCTAACTCGTTAGTTTAGATGGTATTTGGATGTAAAATGTATGAAAAATAAGGGCGGTTAACTTTGATTGACAGCTGATAACGGGCTGCGCCGAGTGGAATTGGACGTCTTGGCCATGATCTGACACGACGCATCTCTGTATCCTTTCTGAAACATTTGTATTTCTGAACATTTGTATTTTGTATTTCTCAAGATTTTCTAATATGGTGCCGCCCATACCCCCCATAAACAGCCTCAAACCTGTTCTTCAGAAAGTCTATGAGTGACGTCACAGACGCTTTGTCCATATTTTTTACAGTCTATGGTATTTCCATTGTATGCAACTTTACACATTTACTACTTATATTAGTTACCAACTCCATTAGGCCTGAAATATATTTTGTACGTTTTAATCCCCTGGATCATGCTACAAACATGATGATCATTGATGCGCTGTGTCCGTTATCCTATAACTTTAATTGCCACTTTGAATAGTGGCTGTGTTTTTTTTTTTGTTTACATAGTTTTGTTTTAACGGTCATTAATATAAGATAATACTGCAAAATACTTGTGTTGCAATGGAGCGTTCACTTCTTGTCAATATACGTTTTTTGGTTCAACCGTTTTCATTCCTCAAGATGGACAGAGATAATCGCTCCGCTGGCTTTGTTTATTCGAATGTAGCCTTGATTCCTGCTCTGACTCATAAATGTAATATATTTTTTAATATTTAATTTATCAAGCAAGTTAGGCTTCGTCAAGACAGCATTCTTGCAACACGGAATCCTGCACACGTTTCTCTTATGAACTGTCTCAGAGTCATTCTTTGGTAACACTTTACTTGAAGGGGTATGCATAAGACTAACATGATGTATTATGAATATGAAGGAAGGTTTATGCATGTTTGTGACAACTGTCATTAAGTGTCTTTTGCTCAGTTATGAAAGTTTTAATGCAAATATGACATTGTTTGAGATGTCTTTGTTATGACACCTTGACATTACCAAGCAGGGATGGAAATCAACTCTTTTGTCCACGGCGGCCACTGTGGATTTCAAAATCGACCAGCCACTCGACGTTTTTACTAGCCACTTTCTTGTTTTTAACGACAATGTGTAACTGGTAACACTTTACAATAAGGTTCATTAGTTAATGTATTTACTAACGTGCACTAACCATGAGCAATACATTTGTTACTGCATTTGTTCATCTTTGTTAATGTTAGTTCATGAAAACACAGCTGTTCATTGTTTGTTCATGTTAGTTCACGGTGAATTAACTAATGTTAACAAGATTTTAATCAAGTATTAGTAAATGTTGAAAATAACATTAACAAATGCTGTATATGTGCTATTCATTATTAGTTCATATTAACTAATGTAGTTAACTAATGTTAACTAACGAACCTTATTGTAAAGTGTTACCGTGTAACTGCATGTGAAAGTTAATGTGTAACTGCATGTGAGAGTTGATGTGTAACTGCATGTGAAAGTTAATGAGTAACTGCATGTGAAAGTTAATGTGTAACTGCATGTAAAAGTTATTTAGTAACTGCTGTGAAAGTCGATGTGTAACTGCAGTGAAAGTCTATGTGTAACTACAGGTGAAAGTCGATGAGTAAAGTGCATGTTACTGTTAATGAGTATCTGCAGATGAAGTTTATGAGTAGCTGCAAGTGGAAGTTAATGTGTAACTGCTGGTGAAAGTTATTGAGTAAATGCTTGCGAAAGTCATATGTGTAACTGCGTGTGATAATTAATGTGTAACTGCAGGTGAAAGTACGAGTAACTTGAGGTGAAAGTATGAGTAACTTGCAAGCGAAGTTAACGTGTAACTGCAGTGAAATGGTGAGTAGCTGTACGTGAAGTTAATGAGTAACTTGCAAGCGAAGTTAATAAGTAGCTGCATGCGAAAGGCAACGAGTAACTGCAGTGAAAGTTAATGTGTAACTGCATGCGAAAGCTAATGTGTAACTGCAGTGAAAATCGATATGTAACTGCATCGGAAAATGTCCAGTAGCTGCATGCGAAAGGTAACGAGTAGCTGCATGTGAAAGACGAGTAGCAAGCATGTGAAAGGTAATGAGTAACTGCAAGCGAAGTTAACCGGTAACTGCATGTGAAAGTCTATGTGTAACTGCATGAGAAAGTTGATGTGGAACTGCATCTGAAAGTTGATGAGTAATTTGTAAGCGAAGTTTATGAGTAGCTGCATGTGAAATGATAAGTAACTGCACTGAAGTTAATGAGTAACTTGCAAGCGAAGTTAATGAGTAACGGCATGCGAAAGGCGACGAGTAACTGCTTGTGAAAGTTGATGTGTAACTGCATGTGAAAGCTAATGTGTAACTGCTGGTGAAAATCGATAGGTAACTGCGTGAGAAAGTTGTTGAGTAATTGCAAGCGAAAGTTAATGAGTAGCTTCATGTGAAAGTTAACGAGTACCTGCCTGTGAAAAATGATGAGTACCTGCATGTGAAATGACGAGTAACAGCATGCGAACGATAATGAGTAACTGTATGTGAAAGTTAATGTGTAACTGCATGTGAAAGTTAATGAGTAACTTTATGTGAAAGTTAATACTGATAGGTTGGTTATGTGTAACTATGAAAGTTAATACTGATAGGTAGGTCAATGTGTAACTGCATGTGAAAGTTAATACTTGTAGGTAGGTAGGTTAATGTGTAACTGTATGTGAAAGTTAATACTGGTAGGTAGGTTAATGTGTAACTGTATGTGAAAGTTAATACTGGTAGGTAGGTTAATGTGTAACTGTATGTGAAAGTTAATACTGGTAGGTAGGTTAATGTGTAACTGTATGTGAAAGTTAATACTGGTAGGTAGGTTAATGTGTAACTGTATGTGAAAGTTAATACTGGTAGGTAGGTAGGTTAATGTGTAACTGTATGTGAAAGTTAATACTGGTAGGTAGGTAGGTTGTTAATGTGTAACTGTATGTGAAAGTTAATACTGGTAGGTAGGTAGGTTAATGTGTAACTGTATGTGAAAGTTAATACTGGTAGGTAGGTTAATGTGTAACTGTATGTGAAAGTTAATACTGGTAGGTAGGTTAATGTGTAACTGTATGTGAAAGTTAATACTGGTAGGTAGGTAGTTGGTTAATGTGTAACTGTATGTGAAAGTTAATACTGGTAGGTAGGTTAATGTGTAACTGTATGTGAAAGTTAATACTGGTAGGTAGGTAGGTTGGTTAGTTAATACTGGTAGGTAGGTAGGTTAATGTGTAACTGTATGTGAAAGTTAATACTGGTAGGTAGGTAGGTTAATGTGTAACTGTATGTGAAAGTTAATACTGGTAGGTAGGTAGGTTGGTTAATGTGTAACTGTATGTGAAAGTTAATACTGGTAGGTAGGTTAATGTGTAACTGTATGTGAAAGTTAATACTGGTAGGTAGGTAGGTTGGTTAATGTGTAACTGTATGTGAAAGTTAATACTGGTAGGTAGGTTAATGTGTAACTGTATGTGAAAGTAAATACTGTAGGTAGGTTAATGTGTAACTGTATGTGAAAGTTAATACTGGTAGTAGGTAGGTGGTTAATGTGTAACTGCATGTGAAAGTTAATACTTGTAGGTAGGTTGGTTAATGTGTAACTGTATGTGAAAGTTAATACTTGTAGGTAGGTTGGTTATGTGTAACTGTATGTGAAAGTTAATACTTGTAGGTAGGTAGGTTAATGTGTAACTGCTATGTGAAAGTTAATACTGGTAGGTAGGTTAATGTGTAACTGTATGTGAAAGTTAATACTTGTAGGTAGGTTGGTTAATGTGTAACTGTATGTGAAAGTTAATACTGGTAGGTTGGTTTATGTGTAACTATGTGAACGTTAATACTGGTTGGTAGGTATGTTTGTTAATGTGTAATGTGGGATCACATTATAAAATAAATGTTTTTTTCCAAAACACGTTGGCCACAATTACTCATACCCTTTTATTAAATACCTTTTTGCAATATCTTTTTGCCAAGATAACTGCTCTGAGTTTTCTGCTATAATGCCTGATGTGTTTGGACAACACCTGACCTGAGATCAGAGACCATTCCTCCATACAGACTCTCCAGATCCTTCAGATTCCCAGATCCATGTTTGTGCTTCTTCTCTTCAGTTCGGACCACTCATTTTCTATAGGGTTCTGGGACGGTCATGGCAGAAGCTTCATTTTGTGCTCCCTAACAAATTTTTGTGTTGATTTTGATGTTTGTCTTGGATCTTTGTCCAGATGGCAGATCCAACCATGGCCCATAATAAGATTTCTAGCAGAAGGTGTCAGGTTTTGATTTTTTATCTGTTGATGTTTAATAGAATCCACAATGCCATGTGTCTGAATAAGAAGTCCAGGACCTCCTGGTGAAAAATAGGTCCCCAACATTAAAGATCCAATGGTTTATTAAATTGTACACATGGTACTTTTTATCCTCATGTCCACCAAACTATCTAGTGTGCTTACTGCCAAAAAGCTCTTTTTTTTAGTCTCATCTGACCACAGAACCCTGTGCCGTTTGAAGATCCAGTCGTGTCTGACACCTGAATATGCTGGAGTTTGTTTTTGGAGGAGTGAGCAGGATCTTTCTTGAAACCCTCTCAAACAACATGTGGGGATGTATGGGTTGTTTGATAATTTTTTTTATTTAATGCTGGTAGGTAGGTTAATGTGTAACTGCATGTGAAAGTTAATACTTGTAGGTAGGTAAGGCAAGTTTATTTATATAGCACATTTCATACACAATGGCAATTCAAAGTGCTTTACATAGAAAAAATTAAAATAATCAAAAGAAATCAGAATAATTAGAACAGTTTAGAATAAAACATATGAAAAATAAAAATAATTCTAAAAATAAAATACAGTAAATAATTAAAACAATTTAGAATCAAAAATAAAA